GTGACCCCGTGTCCCCAACGCTGACCCTGCTGTTCCCTGGATCTCCCTGTACCCCACTGTCCCTGGTGTCCCCTGTCCCTCAAACCCCACTGTCCCCTGTGTCCCCTGACCCCTGTTCCCTGTCTCTGTCCCTGTCCTTGTGCTGTCCCCGTGTCCCTGACTGTCCCCATGTCCCCATGTCCCTGTCCCCGTGTCCATGATGCTCTCCCCATGTCTCTGACTTTGTCCCCATGTCCCCATGCTGTCCCCATGTCCTCGTGCTGTCCCCATGTCCCTAACGCTGTCCCCATGTCCCTAACGCTGTCCCATGTCCCTGAGTGTCCCATGTCCCTGACTGTCCCCATGTCATTGTCCCTGACTGTCTCCATGTCCCCGTGTCCCTGACTGTCCCCGTGTCCCTGTCCCCGTCCCCGTGCTGTCCCTGACTGTCCCCGTGTCCCTGTCCCCGTGCTGTCCCCGTGTCCCTGTCCCCGTGCTGTCCCCGTGTCCCTGACTGTCCCCGTGTCCCTGTCCCCGTGGCAGTGTGGACCTGGTGCACGCCCAGCTGCAGGTGGCCGCGGGTCGCTCTCTGCCGGAGCTGGGGCTGGAGCAGGAGCGGATCCGCGTCAACGGCTGCGCCATCCAGTGCCGCGTCACCACCGAGGACCCCGCGCGCGGCTTCCAGCCCGACACCGGCCGCATCGAGGTGCGGGACCCCTGGGACCCCCTGCCCATGGACCCCTGGGACCCCCGGGACCCCTCCCTGGGACCCCTCCCCAGGACCCCCAGGACCCCTGGGACCCCTCCCATGGACCCCTCCCATGGACCCCCGGGACCCCTCCCATGGATCCATCCCATGGATCCATCCCATGGATCCGTCTTGGGACCCCCTGCCCGTGGATCCATCCTGGGACCCCTCCCTGGGACCCCTCCCTGGGACCCCCAGGACCCCTCCCATGGATCCATCCTGGGACCCCACCCATGGGCCCCCGTGGTCTCCTGGTCTCGGGGTGTCTCTAGGATGTCGGGGTGTCTGTAGGGTGTTGGGGTGTCTACAGGGTTTTGGGCCGTTTTTTAGGGTTTTGGGGTGTCTGTAGGGTTTTGGGGTGTCTCTAGGATGTCGGGGTGTCTCTAGGATGCCAGGGTGTCTGTAGGATATCGGGGTGTCTGTAGGGTCTGTAGGGTTTTGGGGTGTCTGTAGGATGTCGGGGTGTCTCTAGGATGTCGGGGTGTCTGTAGCATGTCGGGGTGTCTCTAGGATCAGGCTGTCTAGGGTTTTGGGCTGTCTGTAGGGTGTTGGGGTGTCTGTAGGATGTCGGGGTGTCTATAGCATAAGTCTCTCTAGGATATCAGGGTGTCTGTAGGGTCTGTAGGGTTTTGGGGTGTCTCTAGGATGTCAGGGTGTCTGTAGCATGTCGGGGTGTCTGTAGGATGTCGGGGTGTCTCTAGGATGTCGGGGTGTCT